AGACCCTCAGCCATATGGATTGACATAGTGACTGCTTTAATGGGCTTTTGTATGTTGGGAAGTGTAAGGATGGTAAAGGGTAGGATAGGGTTCAGATCTGTTGTTTAGAGGTTCGATAAAGGTTGTACTTGACTCAAGAGCACCACCACTACCAAGTTCATAATCCTTTAAGAAAGCTCAAATCAAATAGGAGTTCTGTCTATCAAAAATTCATTTAGCTTATAAACTTATTTAGATAATAAAACTTTGCTCATTACTTGCTTGTTCTGTACATGCCATAGGGAACTCTAGTGACCTAGTGGGTAGAGCTGTGTTGCCAACCGGTTCAAATTCACCAGTTGTTCTGTAGGAAAAAGATGGACAATTTGTTCCCACACCATTTACAGTCTTTGAAAATGCACTGGAAGGTCAGCTGATCAGTCAGCTCTGACTGGAGAGCAATGAGGTTTTTTAATTGTCATTGTGTACTGTAGAATCAGATCCAACTGGCACAGGAGGAGATTGCCCCTCCTCCCTTCTCCAGCGAAGCATCTGGTGGACTCGAACTCCACGCCTTTGGGAGTGGAGTGCAGCTTCTTGCTACTAGGCCACCATAGCTCCCTGAGAATTAATTATATGTGCTGTTGCTAAAAGTCAGTAAATGTTCAGTCAGTTGAATACCTTTTTTTCTAGGCATTCTGCAAATTTCAGCTGCTTTAGTAGCTTCTTCTGTTTGTTGCTGAACCGATTATCCTGTTCTGCACTTGTTCCCTACAGAAAGAGAAGCATACTTTTTAATTAAGAGTTCAAGGTTAAACATTTACCTGTTACCAGCGATAATAGTTATGCCCTTTACATTTTAAATAGGGTAATCAAACAGCAGAAACATTATAGCTAAATTCAAAAGTACACATAATTTATACTTTTCCCAATTTTGTTTACATTTTGAAAATTAGACTACTTTAAAACAACACAATAGCGTTTGTTGGAATTAAGTCCAGCCGCTATAAAGATAACTCCAGCATAGCCAATGTTAAACTTTTACACCTTAGGTGTTCACAGATATTTAAGAACTCTTTAATTAAATGAGAACACATTATAACTATTTACTATGATTGATACAAACAGGGAAAAGTGTAAAAAAGACTGTGAATTGCCCAATCTAAGTATTTGGAAGGCCTGAAAAAGGTCTACTTTCATAAACTCTATTTCATCAAAGAATTCAGAAAAATGATAGCATACATTCGATTATCAAGCAATCAGTGATAAGTTACTGTGTTTAATCATTTTTTTTTATTTTTTTTTTTTTACTGGTTCAATCTATCATAAAACTGGTTGTGAGCCAAGAAAATATACTCATCAAGATACATTTTAGGAGAGACAGTACAATAAGCCTTGGTTTGAAAAGCAATCCTAGCAGTATTTGACTATAAGAGCTCAAACCAATAATTACTCAGCCTCTTTAAACCAATGTTTTCCTCACTTGCTAAAATAAAGATTTTTCGGGGTTGCTTATCTATTAAAATGACATATATAAAAGTTGCTAGCACATGGAATGCATTAAATGGAGGCTAGTATTTCTATGTTATCTGAACAATGGCATGTATGATCAGACTGG